ATAAATTTGATTGAAATATGTCTACACATCCACACATTAATTAGATTATTTTGGTAACTAAATAGTATATATATATATATACTTGTTATTGATACTATAAAAAGAAGAAAAATAAGGGAAAAGAGTCGTAATTTATCATAGGATTTGTTGTTTTGTTTTGGTATGTTTTATCATTTATAAAATGTCTAAAACGTCAGGGTTATCATCATCAAAGAAGAAAATAACAGTTGCATTGTCACCAAAATTATTTGCATTTGGTGGTGGAACAAAACCTGTTTCACAATTGTTATTTAATAAATATGATACAGATAAAAATGGTTAGTTTAAAGTATTTAACAAAATTTTCTTAGAAAAATAATATTTCATTTTAAAATAATTTGTCAAAAAAAATTCTGTTTTTTTAATTGTAAAATTAATTTAAAAATGTCAATATATATATATATGTTATGTTCTGTCTTAGGTTATATTTCTCTGGAAGAACTTCGTTATCTTTGTTATGATATGGGATATTTTTTATCTGATGTTCAACTTAATTGGGCACGTACATTTATTGATAATGATGGAAATGGTGAAATAAGTTATAAAGAATTTTCATCATGGTGGCAAAATTCTTTACGTTTTGATCATCTTTTATTATCTGATGAACAATTAAATAAATTATGTCAAATAACTGATTTATTTCGTTTATATGATAAAAAAAATCAAGGTAAAATAGATAAAAAACAATTTAAAGAACTTTTTCAAGAATTAATTAAACGAAATATAATGGAAATAAATCAAGCAAATCAATTTGATGAAATTGATAGAAGTCAAGATGGATATATTAATTTTAATGAATTAATTGCTTGGTTTTATGATCAAGGAATTTTACAAAAAATGGGAATTTTACCTGTCAAAAAAGATTAATAACTATTAATTAACATTTTATTTCAACTTTTATAAATAAACTTTTTTCTTTTATTTTCGATTTTTTATTCAGGCTTTTATATATTTTGTTTCATTAAATCTAAATCTATTCAATTATTCTAATAAATATATCTATAAAAAGATATTATTATTATTAATAATTATAGATTAAAATTAAATTCTATTTTATTTAATTATAAGATATAATCGAAGATCTTTCTTTCAAAATATAGAATATCACGCCTTAAATAATAAATAATTAAATCAATCAAAGTTGATTAAAATAAATTATGAAAACTTTAACAAAAAAAAAACAGAAAGATCTTTATTCTAAATAATCTTTTATTTTCGATTTTTAATAATATTCTATCGCTTTTAAATCTATATATGGGGGTGAGCAACTTGACTGGTACCCCAAAGCATATTTGCTTATATGGCTTCAATGCGTCATTAGAAAAATGTGATTTTTTTACTAGTTGTAGTACATATATAATGCTAATAATTTGCTATTATTTGAGCTCTATATCATACTAGGAACGCGGGTTATCAAGTGTGCCCTTATAATCATCTTACTAAAGGTATTCTATATCAGTCATAGTGGCCCTACAAACTTTTTGTTCGCCCAGATTTCAAGAGTCCTACGTTGGAAGAAAGAGCACGTCGACTTGAGCATCTTTTGGGATGGAACAAAGTTCTTTAAAGGTGATCACGAAGAATTCGGGTCGAGGCGACACGTTAAATTTGAGTCATTTAGATGTTACGTCCACCAAGACTCTTCATGATCACCTTTAAAGAACCTTGTTCCATCGCAAAAGATGCTCAAGTCGACGTGCTCTTTCATCCAACGTAGAACTCTTGAAATCTGGGCGAACAAAAAGTTTGTAGGGCCACTGTGATACTTGATGCATCCACATTCTTTGATATGGAATAACTTTAGTAAGATGATTATAAGGACACACATGATAACTCACATTCCTAGTATGATATAGAGCTCAAATAATAGCAAATTATTAGCATTGTATATGTACTACAACTAGTAAAAAAATCACATTTTTTTGATGACGCATTGAAGCCACATAAGCAAATATGCTTTGGGGTACCAGTCAAGTTGCTCACCCCCATATATATATATTAGATTATATCAATGAGAGAGAGAGATCAATAGAATATTTATTTCATGGTCAATTTATATTTGAAAACTAATACAGTTAATTATATAGATCATCAAAACATTTTTCTTATTTATTTTATAATAAAAAACTTTTGAGTTGAATTTTATTAAGTTCGAAGAAGATCGTTCTATATAGAGTACAAAGGTATTATTAGGAAAAGTATTAAATATAATATTTTGAAATTCTACTTGAATGTATTAAATAAAGATGAAAATTTTCAAGATGATATTGATAAGTAAATTTTTTGTTTTGATCATTGATGAAGGTGACAATGATATTTAGTTGAAATTAACTAATTATTTGATCAAGAGAATTTTTAATTTCAATTCATTTAAATATAAATTCGATAAATTTTACAATTGGAAACTTGAAGATTTTTCACCAAATAACAAACAATTTATTTTAATTAAAATAATATATTATTAACAAATGATTAAAACATTAATTAGATATGATATGTATTTGATTTATATCATTGTTTATTTTATTAATTATTTCATGATATTTAAATCTGTAAAAATCCTGAATAAATATATATTGTTTAGCTACTTATATTATTATGGATTTTGTCAATTTCATAAAAGTGCGTATTTAAAATCCGAATATTATTTATTTGCATTTACAACTTGCACGTGGAAGATTTATATAACAACAGTAAAAGAAAAGGACGAAACAAAAAACAAAGTGAAAATATTTTTTTTGCTTTATTATTTGCAAAAGAAGAAGAAGAAGAAGACAAGCAGTTAGTTTATTAGTGAAATGTCACAAATATAAAAAGGTAAGATGTTTAAATAAAAATGTTTGCGTCTATTTTATCATTTATTTAAATATAAACTATTATCTTTATCATAAATAAAAAACAAAAATTTATTCAATTTATTTAAAATAAATTTATCGAATTGAAGTTGAATTATGATATGTAATAAGGAATTTATAAATTCTTGAAACATTTTTTTTGTTGTTGTTTTAAGCATTTAGTCTATCTAAGAAAAAGAAAAAAGATTGAATTAAGAGTGCTTCGTCGAAATAGTTCGATATGATAGATAAGATTATTTATATTTTAATTGCGAAGTTTTTTAATTCTATGATAGTTAATGAGAAACGATGTCGTTTATTATTCTATAGAATTAATGATCTAAACAACGATTTAAAACATATACTTATCGAAAACAAAATCCAATAGATTTCTATTAAGTTCAATATGTCTGATAATAACTGTGCATTTTTCCATTTAAAATAACCGTCAAGTATAGATTGTATATTGATGAATTCTTTCTTGATTAACTTTATAATAGAATAACTGTTTTGACAAAAATATTCTCTAGTTTTTATTTAAAACAATAAGAAATTAAAATATAATTTATATTGTACTATGAACTTCTATCGAAAGTTTTTGGTTAATATCAAAAGATTAGAGTTCTATTATCGTTGATTTCCATCGCAAAGATTAGAAAAATACACGATCAAATTTTTCAAAGTTTTTTCAAGTCTTGAAAAATTCATTGTTTCTCTTAGCTTGTTTGTTTTTTTTTTAATTAACACATATATATAAACAGGTGATTGTATATATAGACTAAAGTGAATCTCTATAATGTATAAGAGAATGTTTTATTAATATATCTATATTGATTATAAATAATAATAATAATAAATTTTAACTTAGAATTGTTAATTAAAGAAAAAAAAATAATTGGTAAATGAGTGCAAACGATCCAGGACATATTCGTAAGTTAAAATAAATAAATAAATATATATTGATTTTTATTTTTTTTTTTCATTTAGAAAAACTTGATAAAAATCAAATTGAAATTTTAAAAAATTTTTGGAAAATTGTTGGAGAAAATATTCGTGGTAGTGATAATAAAATAAATAGTATTTATGAAGGAGAATTATTTCTAGCTATTGGTTATGATAATCCCGATGCTGTTTTACTTCGATGGCTTCGTGCACGAAAATGGGATATAAATGCTGCTTCACAACAATTAATGGAAACAATTAAATGGAGACATGAATGGGGTGTTAAACAACTTTTAATTAAAGGTGAAACTGATCTTTGTTATGATGAAATAATAACAGGTAAAACATATTTTATGGGTCATGATAAATTTGGTCGTCCAATAAATTATGTTTATGCTAAAGAACATATAAAAGATCAATTTCCATCTGAATTAACTGAAAAATTTACTGTTTTTTCAATGGAAATAGGTCGAAAATTACTTGAACCACCAAATGAATCTGTAACTGTTGTTTTTGATTTACATGGTTTTGGTTTAAAAAATATGGATTATCAACATTTAAAATTTCTTATTCAACTTCTTCAACATTATTATCCAGAATCATTTGCACTTGGACTTGTTGTTAATGCACCTTGGATATTTAATGGTTGTTGGTATATTATTAAACGATGGTTAGATCCAGTTGTTGAAAGTAAAATTCATTTTTTAAGTCATAATAGTGATTTAACGAAATATATTGATCCATCATATTTACCTAAACGATTAGGTGGTACTCAAGCAGATTTTAATTATATTCCACCTAGTCAAGAAGATTTAGATATGATTAATACATTTCAAAATGATAAACAAGGAAAACTAAAAGCTGAAGAAGAACATCGAGAAGCTGTACAAAATTATCTTAATCTAACATATCAATGGATTAATGGAAATGATACAAATGATTTATTAGAAAAACGAAAACTAGCTGCAAATAATATTCGAGATAAATTTGAACAACTTGTACCATATATTCATACAAGAACTCATTATCATCGTATTGGAGATATTAATGAACCAATATTTGATATTAAATATCGAGCAATTAAAAATAATATACAACAATAATAATATTATCTATTATCTCTTTTTTATTCGATCATCATTTTAATTATAACAAATTTCGTTTTTTTTGTTTTTTTATTTTTTTTAAATTTAATATTTTTTAATTAATTTGATTGAATATATATCGAAAACAATTTGACATCATTGAAATATATGACACTTATTATTAACTGTCGACATTTTCTAACTAACCTCAACTCATTAATATATATTTATCTATATTTATTGATCAATCGAAGATTTACAATATTCACAAAATAGAAATTCTTTCATAGAATAGGAACCGATCATACTCACTAAATGTCTCTTAAAAGTAAAACAAACTGAGATATTCAAATTAAATTGATATATATCTATCAGAGATGTCCATCGCGGCGCTGCCGCGATGGCGGTGGCGGCAGGTTTTTTAAAAAATCACTGCGGCAGCGGCGCGGCAGATTTTCTAAAAAAGTCATCGCGGCAGCGGCAGGATTTTTTTGGAGGACATTGAAAAACTGTATGAATTTAATAGAATTTCAGGATTTACAAATGAAACGCCCTGATATTGAATAAATCTGATGGACTAGTACCCATATCTCTGGTCAAATATAGTCACAGCAGTGAAATTAGAAACACTTTTTTGAAAACCGTCGCGGCAGCGGCGCGGTGGCGGCACGTTTATTTTATAATTCATCGCGGCAGCGTTTCCTTTATAAGTCATCGCGGTGCGGCAGCGTCGCGGCAGCTTTTTTTCTAAGGCCGCGGCAGATTTTCAGCCGCGATGGACATCTCTGATATCTATGTTATTCGAGAAATTTTTTATCATTAAATCATAAGAACAATAGAGATTAGATAAATTTAAATTGTAGAGACTGATCAATTTGAATCAAACAAGATTTTATTTATCTATTATAGAATAATTAAAAAAAAACATATGACATTAGATTTATCTTTATTGAACTATTTATAAACATCTTCTAGAAATATCATTAATCAGTCTGTTACAAAAAAATAATTCGTCTTCATAAATTTCCTAATCAATTGTTATAAATATTTTATCAAAATCCGTTCGATAAGATACTTTTAATAAATATAGAAATATTAATGATAACAAGAATATACTTTATTAATAATCGAAATAAATTTATTCGTTTCCAAATATTCAAACAAACGAAAATCAACAATTAATGTCTTTTTTGTGTACTCAAAAAGTGAGTACACTTCTAGAATCGGTCAGTGTGTCCGGCCGTCCGTCCGTTTACACGATAACTTTTGAAAGGAGAGTCCAATCGCGATGAAATTTTCTACACAGTTCAGTCTTAACAATATCTCGGTCGAGTTCGAAGATGAGAAGGATTGGCCGAGCCCTTCCTGAGCTATTGCAAAAATACTCATTTTTCTCTGTACCTTCCCTATGGACAGATAGACCCATTCCCGCTTTCCTAAACAACTTTTCCTATCATAGTCAACTAAAACCCCAACTATTATACACCATTCGATAGAGAATTTCACGAGCTACAAAATGGTATATAAAACATAAAGAAAGAAGAAAGCTAGCTCACCTATTGCAAAGATAATTACACGGAAATCGGTTCTATTTTTGTCCACGCTCTGATTGATTCACAATTCGAGCCTTATCTTCCAATCACAGAGATGATACTTCGAGGTTTTCTGGGGTGAAGAACTCGAATCTGTGCTCCATTCGCCTCGAAATCCCATTGGTTGAGGAGTAACCAATAGAAATCAAGTTATAGGAAAAACGAGTTTCTTCGGGTAAATCAAGGTGAAGAGTTCAAATCTGAGCTGTATTTGCCTCCAAATCCTATTGCTTGAGCAGTAGCCAATAGAAATTAAGTGTTTATAGAAAAGGTTTGCCAAGACAATTTTGATGTCCACACATTCTAGGATGACTCATCTGTCTCATTCAATTTTTGAAGTACACATAACTCTCGGATTTAAATCCGAGGTTTCCGCATTTATTTTAAACTTACAAAGCATTATAAACATAATTAGATTATTAACTAGACGAAATTTCAATTCTGTTTTTTTTAGAGCTTTTCTTAGTCTTTTAGAAATAAAATCATTGTTTGAATATAAAGAAAAATAATATCCAACAATCGCCGAAACAATCTTATCGATGGATTATTCCAAATGAATGTTTTATTTTATTTTGTTTTCTATCTCATCTATAAGAATATTCTTTCTTGTTTTGTGTAAAAGTCAAAGGCCAATAATATTTAAATATTATTTTGATAAATTAAAAGAGTTTTTGAATATTTTCCAAGTTAAATTTATCAATTATTGAATATTAATTGTCAATGTAGATGAATATTATTTATTATAGTATATTGTTCGAACAAATTCACAATTGACGAAACTTCTGTTGATAAAATCTTTTAATAAAATAATATTTCGTTAATGTAGAAAAATAATATTCATCATTCTAATATTAATTATTGAAATGTTATTTATATGAATAAATAATAAAGAAAGAAACAAATACAAAAACAAAAAAATCTTTATTTATAATTACTTAGATTTAATCATAGGTATTGATTCATAATCGTTTAGGTGAATTTTTTTATGTAAAAAAAAACGAAAGGATATTCTTCATTGCCATTGTTTTTCTCCAACTGGTTCAAGCATATTATTCTATAATGATAATGCTGTTCGAGAATGACCTTTACCTTTTATTTTAATAAATAAATAATGTTTCAGTTACATATTTAGGAAAATTTTCTGGATTATGTTTGTCGAAGTTTTGACAAATCATTACCCTATATTGAATATTTTTAAATCAAATTTATCTCATAAAGATATTTCATTAAAGTATGTGATCTCATTTCGATCAAGATGATCTTTATTTAACCAGTAATAAGAAATAATAAAAAATTCTACAATAGTTGACTTTTTCGAGTCTTTGTTATTCAGATATCGAAGTGTTATTATTAGAATTTTTAATAAAAAGCAATTGTTTCTTTCAAATCACAAGAAAAATTGACTTTTGAGTTCAACTTTAAACTTCGTCGAAACAAAGTTCTCATTATAATTAGTTCGTTGAGTTAAAATTTACCTTTTCTATTATGTCCTTTCTGTCAATCTATACATACACATATATGAACAAAATTTGCTTGTATATATCAGAGAATATTGAATATCTCATGATAAGAGATATTAATCTTAGTAAATATATTCTTTCTATAAAGTTTGAAGTCATTATTCCAGAGTCTTTTTTTACTTTTCATCTTATCTAGAAGGACGACAGGTTTATGCTGAAAAATGCAATTAGTTTTTCATATTTTACAAGCAAAAACTGAAAAAAACAAATCTATTGATCATAATTCCTAATTAAATGAAAATAGTCTCGATCGAAAAAGCAATTAAACACATGTAGATGTTCTCTGGTTAGATATAAAACTTACACCAATAAATAATGTAATTAGTTTCCAATCATTTTTTAAATGACAATATTTACTCGAATTTAATCATTGAAAAAGAATCTGAGCTTGATCAATCATATGATAAGAACAATCACCGGATTTAGCTTTTCATTTATAATGATATACTTACCAACATTAAGATGATTAGGTGAAGAATTTTGACCATCAACAATATAGTTGATGTTTTTATTGAATATCCTTTTAATCTATCATTATCATATTGACGAAGAATATTTAGCAATGAAAGAACTCTACTAAATCTATAATCACCACCAATTGACCAAGACGAATTGTGACGGACTATCAGTACGAAATTAGAAGTACTTTTCTTTTTTCCTTTTAGTAAAAGTAGATCAAAATTGAAATACAAATCATATTATTCTACTTTCAGAAAAATCAAAAAAAAATCGAGTTAATTCATTCATTCAATTATGTAAAAACATTTAAATATATTATTATTGATTTTGAAATATATTTATAATATAATATATATTATTCTTCATTTATTTATTATTAAAGAGAAAACTTGAAATAATACTTTTAATCTTGAAAATAGAAATACATTTATTGTTCTTAAATATATTAGAATCATCTTCAATTAAGTTTTCACTAGAATGAATAATTCTTATTCATCTTTACAAATCAAAATATCTAGTTATTGTTTCGACATAGAGAAAAGATAAAACAGCTATCTCATTTATTTCTAGAATATAATAGACATTAAAAGATCTAATTGATTTTCGAAATATTTCAATAAACTTCTTTAGCTATTATATATTAAGTAATAAGTCTTCCTAATAAGAATACTTTCAACAAAAATTAAAATATCATCGATATTCTTATGATATTTGATGATTAGATTTTGATAAATTTCAATTTCTACAATGATAATCAACTTTAACTTCAATTGAACCCTGATTTTTTTTTTACATAGATTGATGTCAAAATAGTTTCGATATCATTATATTAGATATCGATGAAAATCATCATCCAAGATAAAATACTCTCTCATTAGTTGCTTACTGGTATATTTGAATAGTCAATAAATATTTATTATAGAAAAATGAAATACTTTCTCACTGTTCAATTAGATAAACTCTAAAAATATTTTCAATTAAAGACGTTGGATACGAACTAAGTATCCGACGATAAACATATTACAAATATTCTTGAGTATAGTGTCTAGCAAACTGGTACAGTATCTATGGCAGGCAGGTCAGGCTAGGATAAAGCAATAGCCCTCGTGCCCTGTTTGGACCTCTGATTGCTAGTCTGCCATCATTATTGTATTCGCTTGAAAAGGTTGACAGACCGTACAGGCCTTCAAAACGTGGCCTGTTTTGACCTCTGTTTTGAAATCTTTTTTTTACTTTTCAAACTTCGAATTTATATCAAAGCATAGAAGTAAAAACAGTTTCAGTTATGATTGATCAATTGATTGTATTTGAGAACAGCTCATAGATGTGGATATGTGAGATTGTTTTACTATAAGAATTCGTCTTTTAATGAGCACTCATGCAGAGATGATGATGATGAACAATATAACAAAGAAAATGAATTGATATTTATGCATATATACATAAT